CGTGTTTAATTTATTCAATCAACTCCTCACAAAACGCCCCGTTTCCAACCCTTTCTCCTTCAGCCCTTTTTTAATCTCTTCGTTGTTAAGTTTCAATTCAATTAAACTAATTTTTATTATCACCTGCATTCAAAGTGAATAATTATTTATTTTTTTATTTATTTTTAAAATATAAAGTTAATTTTAAATAAATAAAAGATAATTGTATAAAGCACAATTAATGTTTCAATTATATATAAATTGAAATTTTTTAATATTAATATATAAAATATTCAATAGTATTAGAATTAAGAAGAATACTTTTTAATGAAAATCGTCGATACAATTAAAATTTTTATATATTTACATATTAGATTCAACTTATTAATAATAAAAAATATTTGAAATGACAATTTAAAAATATAAAGAATAAATAGGTATATTTTGTAAATAAAAAATTTTTCCAATATCCATCATTATATGATATTACGACATACAACTGTAAATATCATTTACAAAATAATTAACTAAACATTGTTTAACATGACAAAAGATAATTTAAAAATATGATGAGTATGAACATCTATTTTCGTCAATCAAAAGATTATTCAACATCCGAATACAAAATACTTGCTTTGCATAGATAGGGCATGGGTTTGGATGTTCAGGATAATCTTTCCCTCTTTTTCTTTTCTTTATTGATGAGTTTGATCAACATATTGTTTGGTTTAATGCTCACAATTCAAAGTTCAGTATATTAAGCACACTTTATTCAGTTAGAAACAGCAACTACTTAGCATCATCGGGCATCCCACTCGACTAGTTGGACTTGGGAGTAGAATAGATTGTGAAACTCCCTGCCACCATGTTATAGTTACATCAATCAGCTATCAGGATCAGGCTATGATCAAAACCTGACACGGCTTGTACAACTTCAAAATCTTCTAAATAATCAAGCAGGATTGGCTCAGCTTCATCGCTGGAGCTTCCTAACCCAAGCCTGCCATTCTTACCACTGCCCCAAACCCACACCTGCCCCTTAGATGTCAGAGCAATAGAATGCACTCGTCCTCCTGACACAGCCACAGGTGTTTCCCCTTCCAATTCCTCAATAACTAATGGTAGATTCTCTGGTCCTGCCCTACCTAATTGTGAACTTCGGTTCCAGCCCCATG